GATCAGCTTAGACAACAGACAATATAAACGTACCAAAAAGCGTGTACAAAAGCACGCTCAAAGTGATATGGTCGGACATCATACGCCTCCGGATGAAAGTCAGTTTTTAAGTAATATTGCTCGATTTAAGGGTCCAAAAAAATGCAAAGTAGCGATGGCTTGATTGTCATTCCCAGTCTTTGGAGAACAGGTCTGTTTCTGGTTGATTGTGCTGCAGTGTGAAAGCAGAAGGAATGAAAGTCTAGTCCCATAGAGGCCAGAAGAAAAAAAAAAAAAAAGGGGGCGGCGGGCAGCTTCTCAAGTGGAGCAGAGGATGAGAGATGAGTAATGCTACGGTGATGTCGAAGAGGAGGCGAAGGAAGGAAGAAGGAGGAGAAGAAGAGAAAGCTAGAGGTTTGATGGGTGGATGGACTAGGTGGTATCTCCGCAGCTCACACTCACACCTGTGTGGGGCTTCTGCAAGGTTGAGACGGCCCCTCAGCTGCGCTTGGAGTAGAAGTCTAGCAGGGGGCCGCGTGGGAGGCGGGTGACAAACTAAGAGGGGAGGAGGAGGAGGAGGAGGAGGAGGGAAGAGAGATGAGAGGAAGGAATCTTGAAATGACAGAAAATGAACTGAAACTTGTAAAAGCCAGAGTTGCGCAATAACGGATTATTGAAAAAATATGAAATGGGATTTTAATCGGACGTTGTTGTTGTCCAGAGCATGGAAATGTTACATTTAAAAAAAATATTTTTCCATGTCCAACAATTATTTTTGCATTTTTTGGGGGAAACAAAGAAAGTCATCCACACTGGTAGTATATTATTAAAAAGAAAAGGATGCATGTTATACTTTTTTTAAACAGGAAGTACCAATTCAGCTGCTGCGTGTCAAAGCTTGTTTACTTTGATCAGACTAGAGCTTTAGCTGAAGGTTAACCAGAGACTGGCTTGTTTGTCCGCTCCAGCAGGCATCTTTTGACCAGTGTCATATGTGCTGATCTCACTGCAGACACCAAGCTGTCAGTTTAGCTTTGCTTTGATTTCAATGTGACTCAAATGCATCCTGACAACACGATGCACTCGGAGGCATTTATCTCCAAGAGTAAAATGTTTTGTGTCCAAACTGTTTTGCTGCAGTTGAGTTAATGTCTTGCCCAAAGGCACGCGCACAATGCAGATTATACTTAACATCAGAAGTTGTGTTTCTAGTCAGCTTGAACAGCTGTCATGTAATGTTTTTAACTGAATAAATTAGTTTTATAATAGAGTCCTGTGAAAGTTACATTTCTATTTAAAAAAGGGAGAGTTGGGCAGAAACTGCAGATACAACATGAATACTAATCGTCTCTTCATGTAAAAACAACCATGGCTTGGAGAAAGCCGCAGTCAAGCAAAAGGGTGAAATCAAGTGTGAAGGAAAGTGTGCAAGGCAAAAAGTATCAAAAGCAAAAAAAGAAAGCTCATCAATAAAGGGAGGAGAGAAAAGGTAAATGCTGCTCAGTGTGAGAACGTGCAAAAAAGTCATCCCGGAGCCATGCGGTAGATCTCCAACGTCAGGTCTGTCAGTCATGCAACACAAACATGTCCGGGCTCACAGGCATCCGACACAGGTAAGAGGAACCACAGGGAGTTCTCAGAGAGCGGACCGCCTGTCCCAGAGTTGCCTCTCACACACACACACACACACACACACACACACACACACACACACACACAC